TGACCCTAAAATGTTTGCAGAACATGATAAACTAATCTCTGCCAGTTCCTTAGGGGTGGAGCATTTCATGCGTGAGTTGGGGCAGTTCTATGAGGCTGAACACACAATGGTGAAGGAAGGTAAAATAGCAGAAAGCCAAAGACAATTCACCCACCTCCCAGGCATAGCAGCTGACCTGATGCTGGAAGGGTTTCCCATGGAGCTGATTGATGGAGATGCCTCCAACATCCTACTGCAGTGGGTGACAGATGTTTTGACAGAGCTCCATGCCAAGCTGGGGGGAAGGTCCAGAATGTTGGTTCTAACGGTGCTGGGAGTGCAGAGCACTGGGAAATCCACCCTCCTCAACACCATGTTCGGCCTGCAGTTTGCAGTGAGCAGTGGCCGATGTACGCGAGGAGCCTTCATGACACTCATTAAAGTGGCAGAGAACTTTCAGCAGGAGCTGGGCTGTGATGTCATCCTGGTGATAGACACAGAAGGCTTTAAAGCCCCTGAACTGGCCAAGTTGGAGGACAGTTATCAACATGACAATGAGCTGGCCACACTGGTGATTGGACTGAGTGACATAACGATCGTTAACATGGCCATGGAGAACGCCACCGAAATTAAGGATGTTCTGCAAACTGTGGTCCATGCCTTCCTCAGAATGGAAGAAATAGGGCAAAAAGCCAACTGCCAGTTTGTGCATCAGAACGTCAGTGATGTGTCTGCGCATGAACAAAACATGAGGGACAGGAAACACCTCCTGGAGCAGATGGATGAAATGACCAAAGCTGCAGCAAACATGGAAAAGAAAGGCAGGGAGATGACATTTTCTGATATTATGGATTATGATCTGGAAAAACATAATTGGTACATTCCTGGTCTGTGGCATGGAGTCCCTCCCATGGCTCCCGTGAATATGGGATACAGTGAAAAGGTTTATGAATTAAAGAAATATTTGTTTGAATTTCTGAAAGGCTGTTCACAAAACAGATCTCCCAAGGACATCCCCCAATTTCTTGAATGGGTGAGGAGCCTGTGGAATGCTGTAAAACATGAGAACTTCATCAGCTTTAGAAACAGTCTCATTGCTGAAGCCTATAACCAGCGCTGTCTGTGAAGTATGCAGAGTGGGAATGGGGTTTCCGCAAGATGATGCACCTCTGGGTATCTGAAAAGGAAACTTTCATCCAAAATCAGCCACCAGATAAACTAGACACCAATGTTTTAACTGAACTAAAGACTGAGGCACAGGAAAAACTGAGGCAAGAAGCAGAGAAGATTTTGGATAATTTAAAACAATATTTTGAAAGTGGAGCAGAAAATCTGCACCTGATAGAAAACTACAAAGAAGACTTTAGGAGAAGTGCAAATGGTCTGAGGAATGAACTGGAGAGTTATTCATTCAGCAAGTTGAAAGAAGCGATTGAAATTAGAAAAGGCCGACGTAAAACAGATGCTGTCCTGTCACAGTACAAGAGAAAAATTGAAGAGAAAGTTGACAGGCTTCTGAACCATTGCAGGAAAAGCAAATGCAAGCTAAATAATGATGAACAGGAGAGAGAA